ATTGATGAAATTAATCCACTCGGTTGAGTTTCCCGAGAAGGTTTTCAAGTCAAGTTGCGGTAGGCGGACAGGTTGCATGAAAGCAGTACAGTTGGAATTATTCACCATTTCTTGAGGGGGAGATTGAGGTTTGTCAATAGGGATTAGTGACTCTATAGTACTGCAAAGATGTATACATAATTCACCAATAGTGTTTTCATCATCATTTAGAATAATGCCATCGAGTTCTTCGTCAGAACAATGTTCTAAAACGCGCCTGAAATTTAGTTCAAAGTCGTCTCGCTTTTTCCTGATTTCATCTAAATAGTTATGAAGTGATTTTATTTGCACAGAGGATAGGTTGTTTGCTTTAGCACTTTCATTAATAGAATCTATATTTTCTTGAATTTTTCCAAGCCTAACTTTGAATTGTTTGGTTAGTCTTTTATAAGTACAAACCTTAATCGGGGCTAGGTTCACAGGAGCCATAATTGAACAAAAATACAGTCAAAATACACAAGACACCAAAGTTATTTCACTTCGTTACATAAAACATAATGAATTAGGCTAGTTCAATTAAACAGTTTGTGGGCCTAAACTCGGAACCAATCAACAAAAAATATAAACACTGAAGGATTGGTATAATGTTTAAAAAATTGATATGAATGTCACAGAGTCTTTCAGTTATTGGAGTAGGCCTAGATCGTTCAATGAGTTAACAAGTAAGTAGTCTAGATATTGTAAATGGATGGAGTAATTTGAGGATAAGGACGACTGAGGAATAAAATCAGGGTTTCTTTATTATTTCCAGGTTGATATTGATTTACTTTGATAACTTACGATGAGTTGTCTTCATTGTCTTCGAAGAAGTACAAACATAACCTTACTTTCATTTTCATTCATGACGTTTGAAGCTGAAGTTGTAGACGAAATGAAGTGTCGAAGTTCGAAGTGATGAATGCGGAGTGGAACTAGCAGAACTGAATGAAATACGTTCAACCGAGACATTGAAAATAAACTGAGAAAAGTCGCACAAATGTTCGTAGATATAATCCTAGGACCAAAAATGTGCGGTGTCATTATAATAAAGAGTAAAAGGTCGAAGGTTTTGGTATAATAGAGGTTTAATTTATGAGAGAAATAATGAGTACCGGTACATGTTGTTATGAGAGGTGATTCGCGATGAATGAATGCAACAATGAAACTTGACATATGGTAATGTGATGGGAATTACAGACGGACTGTTAAAAACAAAGACATATAAAATTAATACAAAAACAAAGGCAACTTGACTGAACAACAAGTATTTAGGTTTGCTGCATCAGGGAGGGTAAAGCTGTTTTTTTTTTGTAAAATGTTAGTAGTTAGTAAGAAATAAAAACATTTTCCAAATTTGATCAAAATAAGCAAACTACAACAGTTTACTTATTCTCCGTAAGAATAACATGGGAATTTTAAATTTACAATTTTTTTAAATTTTCTCTGTAACCATTAGGCGCATAATAACGCTTCAGTATACTAAATTATTTGTTTTTTTAAGCTCTACAAAATGGTTTAGAAAGAAATTGCTAAATTTTATGTTTTTTGGGTCAAAAATGGGAAAAACCCATTTTTACCCCATAAAACCCCCCGTAAACCCCCCGTAAACCCCTGTTCCCATGGTCCGATCATGCTGGATCGCGAACTTGTTCGAATAAACATAGGTTTACACGTTTGTACCAAATTTCATCAAAATCGGATCATTTTTGCTCGAGTTATAGTGCTAACGGGCACATATATATATATATATATATATAAATATATAAATATATGTATATATATGAATTTGAACGGATGGTGTTTTTGGCCTCTAGGGACCTCAAAACGAAAAAAAAAATCGGTCCCGAGTCCAGGTCTTACCATGAGTACTACGGTAATAGCTTATTCCCTATATGAGAAATTCGCTAAAATGTTAAATTTTATTTTTAATAATTAAAATAAAAATTCAAAAATTTTAAAATAGCTGTTTGGTTTGGGGGGAAATTTATCTGTATTTTGTAATTTAAAAAAATTTGATATGTTAACACGTTTGGGCTGTGAATTCGTACCTTTGATGCCTTGCGCTGTCGGAGCACTACTCGTTGAGAGTGTACTAACACCGGGGTTTTAGAATACAACGATAAACATATTCTTTCAATGTTAAAAGATGTTAATAATAACGTTATGTTAAAGTATTCTAAAGCCCCTGTGTTAAAAAAATGAATATCTTGTAATAATTTTTGTACAAACTCTTAACGAGTAGTGCTCCGACAGCGCAAGGCATCAAAGGTACGAATTCACAGCCCAAACGAATTAACATATCACATTTTTTTAAATTCCAACATACAGATAAATTTCCCCCAAAAACAACAGCTATTTTAAAATTTTAAAAAATCATAATTTTAAATAGCTAGTGATTAATATCTTATTTTTCCACACCTGAATGCCAATTTTGGTGAGAATCGCATATTACCCATTCTCCCAGTGAATTGGTACCAAAGATGAAAAATTTACTACGTTCAAGCTCCCTCCATATCTTTCTTAGTATTCAAAATAAAAATTTGTTCTTATATTATAAATTTGTATCTCTAATTTTTAGTACAATTGAACAATAACAAAAAATCAGACATGAAAATTTACGACCAAACACCCTTAATGAAATCAGTCTAATAACTTTTTAGTTTTTTAATCATAAATTTGAAATGCAGACACTAGGTTTAATGTTTGTTTAGACATTACAGTACAGTACCTATTCTAATTTTCATTATAACATCAGTTTACTATTGCAGTTCTGTATGACTGTATTGTCCAAATTCGAAGAAGCTGACAACCAATTAATTTTCATTGCAAATGTCTTAAGGAATCCATATCTTGTGGAAGTATTCTCTTGTTTGCCCAAACCAAAATTAAATTATACTAGGTATCAATCAATCTATGTAGGCCGAAGTACTAATTTAAACAGAGAAACTCTATTTTCATTGAAACATCAGTTATTATTAGAAAGTTGTAGCTTCTGTATCCAATAGTCAATGGTTGTATGGTGAGTGTCCCAGTTTGATGGTCCTTAACCCTTTGAGTGCCAACGTCCAGGGAACCGGACGTTTTTAAAACGAGCCAAAAGTGCCGACGTCCGGCCGACCGGACGTTTTTAGAACGAGCCAAAAGTGCCAACGTCCGGCTGACCGGACGTTTCGTAATGATCGAACAGTTGTCATAACAACCGAATGGATACTCGGATTCTTTTAACCCATATATTAACATTGAGTCGAAAGTTACTAGATGCGATACATCGATTTTCATTGGTCGAAATATCGAAAATTCGATTTTTACGAAATTTTAACCTAAAAATCGCCAGATCGCGCTCGGCATTTTAAGCGTGACCTTCGGGAATAATCATCGGCATTTTTTGAGCGTTACTTTTATTTCTCGCCTGGCACTCTAAGGGTTAAACAAATTACTAAATTTTTTTAACAGAGACACATCAACAGTTCAGTTGGCTTTCTCAGCGTTTAGCCAAGTATCCAACATATCCTAAGAGTATGTTTCTCAAGTCCATGGGTTGCATATTATGCTAGGTGTACAATGCAGTTGTCTGCTTGCAATATTGAGCGGAGCTAGCATAAAAATATTTTTCTAAAGTCTCATACACTATTATTGTTTCTACACATTATACATTTGTTTCTCGTAAATGAGATTTATACTTGTAGTATCTAATGTCAATGGTATTTTTGTGTTCACATAAATGGAATGTCTATTTGCAGTATCCAAAGTCAATTATAAGTCTGGTTTACGTACATAAATTGTCTACTTGAAGGAACCAAAGTCTATGTTTCATCTGGTTCTCATAAATTAAATGTCTACTTGCAGTATCCAATGGCAATGATATATTTGGTTCGCATATAAATAGAATGCCTATTTGCAGTATCCAAAATCAATTTTACGCCTGGTTCACTTAAATGGAATCTCTATTTACAGGTTCTAAAGTGAATGGTATGTCTGGTTCAGGTAAATAAAAATTGTTTACTTGCAGTATCCAAACTTAATGGTACATTTGGTTCACGTAAATGAATTGTCTACTTGCAGTATCCTAAATCAATGGTACACCTGCTTCACATAAATGAGGTACCTATCTACTTGCAGTATCCAAAGTCAATGGTAGGTTTACATCTGGTTCACTTTATTTGCACTGAATTTATATTTGCAGTATTCAAAGTCAATGATACATCGGGTTCACGTAAACAAATTTTTTACTTGCAGTATTCACACTCAATGATACATATTGTTCACGTAAATGAACTGTCTACTTGCAGTATCCTAAGTCAATAGTTCATTTGATCCACGTAAATGGAGTCCCTATTTGCAGTATCCAAAGTCGTCAATGGAATGTATACTTGCAGTATCCAAACTTTTTGGTTCACATTAATGGAATTCCTATTTCATACCAATCTATTAATATTTTACCAAAAAACACACTTTATTAGTTTCCTTGTAGCAACAACCCTAGGTACTCACTAAAACTTATGTTATTTAAATAGATTTAATTGAAAATCAATTCAGACAAATGGAAATTCGCTTAGTCAGCAGGTTTGCTGCGGCGGGGGTATTTTTTGTACATTTTTGAACACCCTATAAATAGGGATGAAAATAATTTAAAACTTTTTCTACTAAAATACTCAGGACTCAAGGACCTTTAAAATGAGGTATAACTCTTGTTTTCCTTATAACTCTGGTCTTCCCCCCTTTACTTTTGAAAATTTCCCAAAAACCACCTCCACCCCCCAAAATCTGCCCTTTGGGTCTAAAAAAAGGTCTAACGTCAGATTTCTACCATTTCAGATTCAAACCTTCCCATGGTTGGTTACTATGACTGTGCTAAATTTCGTGCAGATCGCTTTAGCCGTTCAGGTGGAGTATTTGTAAAACAAAAGCAGGAGTGTAGAATAAGAGCTTTGCTCAATGATGTATATGAAATAAAAGACATAACTTCAAGTACAAAATATCTTTATTATTTTTTTAAATATACAAATTTCAAACCTCAAACTACTTTAAGATAATACCTCATTTTTAGATAAACAAATATTTTCTAAAACAGACAAGAGGAATTTTAATTAACTATAATAATGTCTATAAAATAAATTAAATCAACCAATCTGGATCATTTAATATGCAAAATAAATATTCATATCACCAAATAGTAGTTGTCTCACTAATAGGGTTGTTTTATTTTTTTTTATTATCAATTCAATTTAGAAAAAATGTTTCTGTTGCTGATAAATGAAGAATGGCTTACCTTATTTGATTTTTCTCATTTACTGTCATGTTAATCATTATAAAAGCCACTCAATTTATGTTAAGTAAAAATGGTACATATTCTTCAGCATATAGAAAATGCGCATTTGAAAAAAAATCCTAACAGGAAACTAGCCCCCAGCCTACTCAATAGTCTGGCAACAGTACAAAGGTAGAAAAAAATAGGTCTACCATTGACTTCAATGATAAGATAATAGTTGTTTCACCTGGCAAGAGATCATTAGGAATTGCTTGGTCAATACAACTTAGAGAAAAAAAATACTAACAAAAGAAAGTAACTGTAAAACAATATTGTGCAAAAATCATATATGCATGGGAAGATTTAAAAGCTACAATTACACTAAAGTTTATAGTTTACTTAAAGAAAAGGAACAGTTAAATACATCGTTAAATAAGTAGTCTTGACTATCTGTACCTTGCTGCGGATGATCAAGTATCAATTAATCGCATGCTGTTTATATACATCAGTTCTGTACACTAAAGCAGCTAGATGGGAAATTCCACTTGGTTACCATTAACTGTTCTCAGAAGATGCCTTATTACTTTAACATCTTCTGACCCTTCCACTTGTCCTATCTTGCTGTTTGGTTAGATAACAGAGACTAGTGGAGAATGTTTTCAGGAGGAACTGATACATTTTGTAAATATAAACAAAGGATATACTTTCTTTGAAAGCGCCCTTTCTTTGAAGGTGTTGATTGTGATAATGAGGTTTGTTTGCTTGTTTTGGAACTATGAATGGTATTTATTACAGTACCTGAATTGTATTAATTAATGAACAAGTAAATCCTGTTCTTAATACCTAATTGTTTCTTATTTACCAATAATTAATAAATTAAAGATAGTTGAATATGATTAATTACTTAGTAACATTGGTGCAGAAATTATTATAAATATTTTTTTAGTTCATTGGCAATAGTATCAATATAATATTGCCATAATATGAGAAAAAATTGAACTTCTACATTGAAAATTTGTACAAGAGAATGGCCAAAAATTTGGCGTCTTTTAACAATGGAAAATAAAAAATATCCAGGCCCCTTTGCAGACAGGGGGATATTTCACAGGCTTCCCGCTTGCCCCACCAATAAGGTTTATAAGTCGGTGCCCATGATTGTTTTAACAAATTAAATTGTATATTTTAAACATTTCTAAATATAAATAAACATATTTAAACTGAAAAATGCATTTGGAATCCAAGCATTAACTGAATCACACATTAATTATTTCATTTTTCATCTGAAACTTGAGTATGCGAGTGAGCATGAACGTAATGCACGGGATCTGCTTCTGAGCGTGCATAACAGAGTTGTCTGGAACGTTGCTCTCGTAGTCGATGGCTACCTTGCGGTTGACTGTAGTCAGCAGAGTTAGCAGATCTTCCTTATATCCGTTAGCGTTCAACTCTTCACACAAAGCCTGCATAAACCAGGAACCTCTCATTGTGTTGCGCCAAGAGTAGAACCCTTCAACATGAAATCAAATTATATAAAAATATCCTTTATTCATATAAGTACAATTGTAAAGGAATAGAGTCAAATCTTACAAAATAAAATGTTTTAAATGAAACTAAAAATAAAACAGAGTATTTATTTTATTTGTTCTCCTTAACTCTTAACTCTTTAAGAGAATAAGGGGCAAGTTTAATCAAATACTGTTTCAGACAATTTTTAAACTTATTATTTTCAGTTAGAAGTGTTTTTGGTTGATGGGACATAAATTTATTTCCTGTGAATTTTGATTTTCTTTTTATAAAATTCTAGATTGTGTCTATCAGTTGTGTCTAGATCATGGGAACGGGGGTTGTTTAAAGTTATTTTCCTAATTTACTGTTTCTAACAGCTGTCTCATATTAACTATTTAAATCTTGTTTACTTTTGTTCAGTTAAAAGAAATACAGTCCACTAAGAAACATCATCTAGTTTTTTTCTCTCTATTTATCTATCTTCATCTACATTTTAATCTAAGTTTATCGATCGATCTAAATTCTTTAATCATTTGGTCCTTCTGACCCGGAACAAATAAGCAGTTAATAGTTATTTTTTCAATTCAGTTATAAAAGTAATCAAGAAAATTTCCTATACTCTGTTGAAGTGATGTCCCTAGAATCCAAACTAGGTCTTCAAGCAACACGCTTAAAAATCTTAGAAAAAGCCATAGACTATTTCAAGGAAAAGGATATATCAACTATATTGAAGCCTCAAGTGCAAACCCGGATCGATGTTATCGAAGCAGAATGGAGGAAATTTGAGAGGGATCACGAGAAAATATGTGATTCAAAAGCTGACATACTAAAAGACCTAGACTACATAAATGAAGATCACTACAGTCAAGCCCTTGAAGCCTATATGGTAAGCAAATCTGCAATGCTTGTTCTCTTAGATGAGTTATCGGTAAATTTTCAACAAAATCAAAGCACATCTGATATCAATACATCTAGTTCTATGAGTAAATCAAATCAACTTATTCTACCTAAAATATCTCTACCTCAATTCTCAGGAAGTTACCAGTCTTGGAAACCATTCCATGATCTTTTTTCTTCACTAGTAATCCAAAATCCTAACTTAACTGATGTAGCTAAGTTACACTATCTCAAAACCAGTTTGTCAGGTGATGCTGCTCAATTGCTAACCAATTTCCAAATAACAGGAGACAATTTCATGCCAGCTTGGGAAAAACTTGTGACTAGATATGAAAACAAACGTATTTTAATCAAAAGGCATTTGGATGATATATTTAATTTAAAACCTCTAGAAAATAAATCTGCTAGTGGTCTCAATCACCTCATGTCTACTATCAATGAGTCTTTACTCTCAAAGCGCTAGGATCTCCTACAGATAAATGGGATCACATCTTGGTGTACATGATTGTACAACGACTGGACCCAGAGACACACGAAGCATGGGAGATTCGTTACGGAGTCTCAACAGAACCCTCCACCCTGGAAGATCTTCAGACCTTCATCAAAGGTCGTATTCGAGCCCTGGAAAGTATTGAGTCACGAGCAACACTGCCAAGCGATGTAACGGTAACTACACTACAATATTATAAAGGTAAACCTCATCAAAATCTTAAAGTACATTCAGCACAAATAGTAGCAAAATCTCAAAACAATATAGGAAATCATTGTCAACTGTGCAGTAAAGATCACTATTTAGCATTTTGCAAGGAGTTTCGTGACAAAGTACCTAGTCAACGAAAAGAGGTTCTTGTGAACAAAAGATTATGTTTCAACTATCTTGGTTCAATTTGTTAAAGGACTGTCGCTCAAATAAATCTTGTTTACAATGTAAGAAAAGACATCACACTCTAATTCATGATGCTGTTAGCCAGACAACAAATATACCTCATATAAAAAAGTCAAGTTCTCTCATCCCTAACAAATTCATCTCATCCACAGATAACACATCATCAAGCTCACACGTCTCCTCTAATTACATGCTTCCATTTAAAGAAATTAATCGACAATCTGTGCTCCTAGCAACCGCTCAAGTTAAGGTAATTGGTCCTGAGGGAAATAGTGTTAATTGCCAGAGCTTTAATCGACCAAGGATCTGAAATCTCTTTCATCAGTGAATACTTAGTACAAACTCTCAATCTGAAGCGTTCATACTCCTCAGTATCTCTTGTTGGTATCGGTGGACATCAAGCCCCAACCACTCGTGGGATAGTTTCAATCAATCTTAGTTCTCTGTATGATACCAAAGTTAGCTGCTCTTTATCTTGTCACATCCTTTCAAATCTCACATCAAATTTGCCATCGATAACACCAAATCATTCATCGTGGAATCATATAAAGGGACTTCAACTAGCTGTAAAGGTCCACCCCTCTCCCCAGTAGCACAAGCAACAATTTTCGGTTGGATCTTGTCTGGACCTACTGGAATTATGGAAAATAAATCTACCTCATCAATGTTTCATTGCTTGATAGAAAACAAACTTGATGATTTTCTTCAAAAATTTTAGGTACAGGAAGAAATTCCTCAAATTAAAGAATCAGTCAAGTCTCCTGATGATCAAGTATGTGAGGAACACTATCAATCAACCTTTTCTAGAGAACCTTCCGGTCGCTATCAAGTCCGACTTCCCCTAAAGGAAACAATCAATCAGCTTGGAGAATCTCAATCGTCAGCTTTTCAAATTTTAACAAAGCTAAATACTCGTCTCTCAAACGATCTTGAACACAAAAACTTGTATACTAATTTCATAGAAGAATACAAAGACCTTGGTCACATGACTGAAACTATTAAAGAAACAGATTCTACCATTCCTATATATTACCTACCTCATCATGGTGTTTTGCGTCCTTCTAGCACGACGACTAAATTAAGAGTAGTTTTCAATGCCTCATTCCCAACTAGTTCAGGATTATCTTTGAATGACGTACTCTACAGTGGTCCAAAACTCCAAACAGAACTACCTGATATTCTCACTTGGTTTAGGCGCTATAAATACGTATTTGCCACTGATATCGAGAAAATGTATCGCCAGATTCTAGTACATCCTAGTGATCGAGATCTTCAAAGAATTCTCTGGATGGAAAATGGTCATCTTAGAAAATATCAACTACATACTGTTACATATGGGTTATCATGCGCTCCTTTTCTCGCCCTAAGAACAATGAATCAGCTTATCGTCGATCATGGTGATGCATATCCCCAAGCTAGTGAAATGTTGTCAAGAGGGAGATATATGGATGACATTTTTGGTGGTGCAGACTCGATTGAAGAGTGCAGAGAAGTAGTAAAACAGACTGATGAGCTTTGCAAATTAGGTTGTTTTCCTTTACAGAAGTGGATCAGCAATGATCAAAATGTACTATCATACATATGTGAAAGTAATTGTGAAAAAGGCAATTCCTTATTGATAAACAAATCCTCCAGTATACGTACTCTTGGACTTACATGGAATCGATTCAGCAATGATTTTCAGTTTCTTCCTACTCTAAGTCCAAAAGACAAATGCACGAAAAGAAACGTTCTTTATCAAATAGGTCAGTTATTCGATCCCTTGGGTTTTGTCTCTCCTATCATCATAAGGTTCAAACACTTCATGCAACAACTTTGGCTAATAAAAATTCATTGGGACCATCTTTTACCTAATCACTTGCAAGACCAATGGAAACTCCTTGAAGCTGACCTACAATATTTGCCATTAGTTAAAGTACCTCGTCATCTTGGTCTTACTCAACTATCTTCGGTAGAAATTCATGGATTTTCAGATGCTTCTAAGCTTGCAATGAGTGCTGTAGTCTACCTAAGAATCGTTAATCGTGAAAATATCACTGTTAGTTTAGTTATTTCTAAAACTAAAGTAGCTCCTCTCAAGACAATGTCGATTCCTCGACTGGAACTCACTGCTGCTACACTACAAGTAAAACTTGTAAAGTATGTTCGGAAAATGCTCAACTTAGAATCTGCCCAACCATGGTTATGGACTGACTCTATGGTTTCCCTAACCTGGATTACAAATCAACCTTCAAAATGGAAAGACTTTGTGCGTAACAGAGTAAGTGTTATACAAGAGACAGAACCGCTCGCTAAGTGGAGGTATGTAGCAGGAAATGAAAATCCAGCCGACTGTGCTTCAAGAGGTGTTACTGCTAAAATCCTTAGCAACCAGCTTTGGTGGACGGGTCCTCCGTGGCTGAATAAAGATGTTTATGAGTGGCCATCCACGACGTTTGATCCAGCTCAAGCAGCTAAATCTGAACTGCGAATCCCTCAATCAACTTGCCACATTTTAAACCTTGAACTAGAACCAGAAATGCTAGAGCGCTTCTCAACACTGTCAAAACTATTACGTGTTACTGCCTGGTGTCTAAAGTTCATTGCCAAAACAAAAAAATCCATCCCTACTAAAACTAATTGTCAATCTTTTTTAACTCCTCAAGATCTCAACTCATCTTTTTTGTTGTGGGTAAAACTCATTCAAAAACATTTTTCCTACAGTCACCCGACAAAGTTGGCTTCCTTGTACTGTTTATAGTACAGAAAGCTGCTAATTGCTGCATATTTATACTTTGCAGTACGGTTTATACTTTGCCGTACGGTTTATACTTTGCCGCACATCAGGATTCCAACGAAACAACACAAAACAGCGTGGTTCTATTATGCATGTAATCCCTGTACGCTTGGAAATAGGTTGGCAACACTTAAAGATAATAATACTATGATCAGCTGATTGACTATTATTGATTGATACGATTTAACCTGTCATTTCGTGTTTATAGTTTCGGTATTTCTGAACTTTCTGGACTTTTCTTTTAAACGTTTTAAAAACATTCCTACGATCTTAATAAACAAGAAAATACCTTTAAAGCATTTTTTTAGGCGCGGAAACCACTTCAAATTACAAAAACATACGGAACTATATTCTCAAAACGCGGAGCAAATTTCTTGCCGAAATCTATGAATTACTCCGTCTGCATCTATGAATTAAATTTTTGGATGTAATTATATTTACT